GGGGCGGGGGGCGGGGCGAGCCGGTGTCGCGGACCGGCGCCTTGGGGGGCCGCACGCCAGGTCCGCGCAGGTCCTCGTCGCTGAGCAGGCCGCGGTCATACTTGCGACGCAGGGTGGCACTGCCCAGCACCACGTAGGCCTGGGAGATGCGCGTGAAGCGCTCGGCAGCCTCGGCGCTCCCCGAGTTGCGGTCCGGGTGGTAGAGGAAGCTCTGCCGGTAGTAGGCCGCCTTGATTTGCGCCTGCGTGGCTGTGGTGGGCACGCCGAGCAGTTCATAGAGCGCCGTGCGCGAGTATGGGCCGTCGCCCTGGGAATAAGTCCTCCCTTCTAGGCTCAGGCCGGAACCCGGGCTCTGTGGAGCGCCCCGGGCCAGCCACAACCCCCACAGCAACCGCCGTGGCCACCTCAGATCGCGCTTGGTTGCCATCTTGAACGGGCCATGCGGGCGGTGCGAGACTAACTGGCCAATGGGAAGCGCGCGTTGTTCGCAGCGCGTCGGCCCTCTAGCCAATCGAGTAAAAAGGGAGGCGGGGAGAAAGGTGGAGCATGCGTATTTTTGGGCGGGAGCGGGGCCGAAGACATAAAAGGCGGGTTCCCGGAACACTAGAGTGAGTCTCGCGGCTGAGGCGTGAGGATGGCGTTCCGTGGGAAGAGACCGGAGCACGGCGGGCCCCCGGAGCTGGTGAGGCTTGCGGCTCGCGCGCGTCCTTCTCTCCTCCATTTAAGGCCCTCGCGTCTTGATTCCTTCTATACTACTCTTCTCTTTTTCTTTCCCGCAGTTTTATGACAAGAATGAAGCCCGGAAATACGTGCGCAAGTAAGGGGAGCCTAGATGTTGCGCGGCGTCGGGGTTCGGGGGCCGGCAAGTTACCCTGATAGCTAGCGCTACTTGGAAAGCACGCAAGAGTTTGGGGTGTTGGGGAAGGAAGGGACCCGGATTGATCCTATTTTTTACGGTGGGAAAGTCAACTTCTGAGTGAATCTCGGAACCCTCTGGGCCTCGGTGAACTTAGCATTAAAATGGAGGTGAATCATGCGTACTTTCTCTAGGGGGTTCTCAAGGTTTCATGTGACAGCTTGTTTGAAGCATGCGGTAAAATCGGCAGGGGCGGTGGATACGTGTAGGGGGGTCAGTGCTGTTGAGGGGGAGGAATTAGTATTCCCAGAATGCTGTGTGCCCCTGTTTGCATTATCATTAAGGTCTTATGACAAGTGGTGTAGAATCTGAATTTCAGGGGGGGGGGGGAGTTAACTTGTGTTAACCATAGTCATTTAACAGGTGAAGGCTAGAACAGGGACTTCCAAGCCTGCTCTCTCTGATACCACTACTCTAGAGATAACTGTTCTCCACTTTTCCATTCAAATTAGAGTCCAAGACCAAGGCCAGCAGAAATCTCTGATCCCGTTGCCGTTATGTAGCAACATAAGCTTTTTTCCCAGCTGCAGAATTCAGTGTGATTCTTCCTCTTGATCTTGGGAAAGGCAGAGAACACCAAAGATCCGTTTTGTTAAGAGGCAGTATTCTCTTGAAGTAATGTTTGGTCGGAATGACTTACTGTGAAGAAAATGTTAACATTTTACCTATTGAATGTTGATGACGTGTTGAAATGCTCTTTGGAGCATATCGGGTTAAGATATATTACCAGGATTATTGGGTTGGGTAAACTATTACAGTTAATTTTAGTATTTCATTTTAATCATGGCACTAAGAGAGTCCCACGTGGCTTGCATTATATTTCTCACGGGTAGCAACTGCTATGGATTTTTGTTGTACCTTGTTGAGCTTTATACAGGAGAGTAACTATGGTGGGTAATTTTTCCAGAAAACGTGTTTTTAAGTAATAAACATATCAGAACCACATGGAGTTGAAAATAGGCAATAGTTAGTCATTAGCTAAGCGATTTATTCCCTTCACATCAGTTTTGCAGCTGGCAAAGTTGTAATTTGTGTCGCAAAATAACTTGTTGCTGTATTACATGGACTTTGGGGGTCGCTCTTAAATAGGTGTAGTTGGGTATGGTGACTGGGACGGTACCTCAGGGTGATTGTGCCTTGTTCTCTTTCTCTTCTTTTGCTCTGAGCAATGTTTTAGCCCAGAACTCCTTTATCACTTGTGTTTTCTGCCTTCCCAGCTCACGGATGATTGATGTCCAGACCAAGATGGCTGGGCGCGCATTGGAGCTCCTTTGTCTGCCTGAGGGTCAGCCCTGTTACCTGTTGGATATTGGGTGAGATCCTGGGGCCTAGTTCAGCTTGTCCAGGTGGAGGAGTGTCTTTCCTGCTCACACTATTGAGTTCCTGTTTTTATTGTGTCTTCCAGATGTGGTTCTGGGCTGAGTGGAGATTATCTCTCGGATGAGGGGCACTATTGGGTGGGCATCGACATCAGCCCTGCCATGCTGGGTAAGTATGTGCTACTTAGCATTGGAGCAGACTACACTTCATGAGTACGGAGCAGCTACGCGTCGTCTGTTTTCCTGACGTATTATCGTCCAATGTAGATGCGGCCTTGGACCGAGACACTGAGGGAGACTTGCTTCTGGGGGACATGGGCCAGGGCATTCCCTTCAAACCAGGCACCTTTGATGGTTGTATCAGGTAAGAGTCTTCAGTTCCTGCTTTTAGTCCTGCAGGTCAGTGCTTCCTAAACTGGTTGTGCAGAGTTACACAGGAGACTTAGAAATACACATCCCTGGTTAGAGCGGTGTCCCCAATTACGCATTTTTTGTATTTTGAAACTGTCTACTCCTTTGATCATCTTGCGCTGCCAGGTTCAGGTACCACTGGTATAGATTATAGATTCTCTGTGCTTTGTTGGAGGGTGGTGGAGAGGTGGCTTCTTACACCTCTAGGAGCCATCTTGTGGGCCCCAGCAGCCATCTTGTTTCCTTCTTTTTGACTAACTGTAATGGAGAGTGGTCCGGGATTTGCCAGTTTCTTCAGTGGTTTAGTCCTTTTTGGACTTTGTCTGGGTTAAGTTTTGAGCCTTTACGTAGTACTTCGATAACAGATCTTAGAACGTTGAAGTGACTGTTAGAAACATGAAGTTGTTCTTTGTGTCCTGTGGTAAATTGTTGATTATTTGGTGTATTCTCTGTTCTCTTTGTTGATGGGGTGGAGGGTAGGGGATAGGGGAAGAAGTCAGCTTTAATCCTGTGATTGTGGGTTGAGCATTACGGATCTGGGTCAGCAGTAAAAATGTAGATTTGAAGATTTTCTTCTAGGGTAAGGGATTAGTTTACATCTGGGAACAAGAGTGGGGGAAATCATTTCAAGGAAAGCAATTGCTTTTTAGTAACGGTTGAGTGAGATTGTTCTAAGCTGCAGCAAACCAAAGGCCGGTGATATGGTCTGTATGTTTTAGGAGTAAGTAGTCACTTTTTATTTGTTTTTGAGAGGAGAGAGAGTATGGCAAACTTATTTTTTATTTTTTATTTTTTTTTAGCATTTGTTATATGTAAGACATGGTACAAGGTGCTGCGAGGTTTGTGGAAATACAATACAGTCCTTTCTTTTAATTTAAAAAAATTTTTTTTTAATGTTTATTTATTTTTGAGACAGAGTACAAGTGGGGGAGGGGCAGAAAGAGAGGGAGACACAGAATCCGAAACAGGCTCCAGGCTCTGAGCTGTTAGCACAGAGCCCGATGCGGGGCTTGAACCCACGAACCGTGAGATCATGACCCGAGCCGAAGTCGGATGCTCAACCGACTGAGCCACCCAGGCGCCCCCCTTTCTTTTAATTTTTAACTCTTCGTGGTGTGTCAGGTGCTATAAGACATGGGCCATACAGCTAAACATGAAGTTGAGTGTGGGCTGTGACCAGAGTTGTGGGACCCACCAGAGCGGTGAAGAAAAGCTAGAGAGCACGGGGAAGCCTTGAGGAGGAGGAGGGGCTGGGTTGTGCCTTGAAGGCTCAGAGGAACTTGGATAGTCCTGGGACTGGGGATGGGGCTCTGAGGGAAGGAACAGTGTGAACAAAGGCACAGAAGTGCCCAGGGAAAGGAACCTGATAGATTGTGGGAAAGACCAGAGGTGTTTTTTTAAGTTTGTTTATTGAGAGAGAGAGCATGCATGCAGGTGCATGCAAGGAAAGGAGGGACAGAGGGAGAGAGAGAATCCCACGTAGGCTCCTCCAAGCTGTCAGCACAGAGCCCGACTCAGGGGCCGATCTCAAGAGTTGGACACTTAACCTATTGAGCCACCCAGGCACCTCAAGAATGAGAGCTTTTTAAATTCCATGCTGAGAAGTTTGAGCTTTATTCAGTAATTGATGGGAAGCTAGGGAGTAACCAGATCAGAGCTGTATTTTGGGAAGATTATTGAGAGGAGAGGAGAGGGGCATCTGGGTGGCTTGGTTGGTTGAGGGGCCGACTCTTGGTTTCGGCTTAGGTCGTGATACCATGGTTGTGGGGCTAACCCCCGTGTCGGGCTCTGTGCTGAGCATTGAGCCTACTTAAGATTCATTCTCTCTCTCTCTCTCTCTCTGTCTGTCGCTCTCTCTGCCCCTATTCCCCTGCTAGCTCGCATGTGCTCCCCCACTCCTTCAAATTAAAAAAAAAAAGGAAAAGAAAGGAGAGATTAGTTAGGTTGTTGAAGCAACCTGGAGGTGGTGATGAGTGCTGACCCAGGAGAGTGGTAGAGGAAGGTAGAACCTGGGAGAGGCAGTTGGACAGACAAGTGGGGTTTGGGCTTCCATTCATGTGTGTACACAGCAGTGAAGGGGGAAGCACCTGAGTGGAGTACATAATAGTTGCTTGAGGGTTTTAAATCTGGGGATGGTGAAGACACAGGTACAGTTGAAGGAACCGATTGAAGAGGAGAATAAGTGAATGAGTGCCTTTGTGTACATACTATAAAGGGGTTTTCCCTTGATTAGAGGAAGGGAATGAAGGGGTAGGTGGCAGAGAGCCTTGACACACTGAGTAATTTTAAATTTGAGATGCATGGAGAAACAAGGTTGAGAAAATACTGGTTTAGATTGGCTACAAGGAGGCTGATGCCAACCTTCTCTCTACTCTCCTCCATCTGGTATTCTAGAATGGTGACCTGGAGTGGATCTGCACAGGCCCAGAAAGAGAGTTCTAGGCAGGAGGGTTTCACCTGGGGCTCAAGGATTGTGTGTGGTGTTAGAGTCTTGAAGAGGCTGGAGAGAGCAGTGCATGTTGGTACTTGTCCTGACTGGGGTCCTTTCCTTTCTCAGCATTTCTGCTGTCCAGTGGCTCTGTAATGCAAATAAGAAGTCTGACATCCCTGCCAAGCGCCTATACTGCTTTTTTTCTTCTCTTTACTCTGTGCTGGTGAGTATGAGATCGTCTCCCAATCTGGGCTGGCCGCTTCTCCCTTCTACAGGCAGTAACGGAGTAGGAAGTTTCCCAGGGGAAAGGCATTCAAATGGTACTGCATGGGGTGGCAGGACCTTATCATGGTTCTCCTGTCTTGGCCTAAAGAGAGAGCTTGGTGGTCTGACACTCCCTAATGAAATGGCAGAAGATGGTGGTGTCTGAGACTGATCACAGTTCCTGTGTCTGGCTGCACTAAATTTTAATCGGAAGTTGGTGTGGGGGCACGGACTCCACGGAGTGAGGACAGAGACCTCATGTCCAGGGCATGCAGAGTGCTTACATCCTGTGACTCCCACCCTCCCTCTCTCCTACTGCTGATGCTCAGATGGGGTGCAGGAGGGTTATTTATCACAGACAGAGCCTTCAATAGCTTTTTATTTTTGTAACTGATGGTGTTGATTTCAGTTGTTTAATAGGATCAATTGATAGTTTGAGATTTTAAGTCCTAAAAATGAGTTATTTTCCTTTTTGGAACAGGCCAGGTATATCTGGGTTCTTCTTAATCACCTCGCTTCATCCCTGGTTTTCCTAGAATGGGTTGTTTCTTGTGGATGGCTGGCTGTCCTTGTGTGTTATGTGGTTTCTGTTGCACACACACACACTGGGGTTAATCTGAGGTTCTAACGGCCTTTGTGTTTGCCTTTCTGTGGAAATGGTTTTCCCTTCTATGTTCAGCCAGCTCCCCGTTACAGTCAGGATTCTGCCCAAGTGTTCCTCAGAGAGAGGCCTTCCTTGAGCCAAAAGTAAACCCAATAGTCTCCTGTCACTTACCATTCCTTTGTCCTGATTTGGTTTTCTTCTTGGCACTAAGTCACCACCATGTATTAGCTGCCTTTCTCACTGCAACGGCCCTTCAAGAGTTCAGGCGCTCTCTTTGTTCACGGCTACATCCCCAGCCCTGAGAACAGGGTCACGTGCACGGTGGGATTTCAGATATTTAGTGAACGAGGAAGACAGAAGTGTTGGGCCCTGAGCCCATGGTATGTTTGTAGGAGAGTGATGTTTCTGTTGCTTATAGGTCCGTGGAGCCCGGGCTGTCCTGCAGCTGTATCCTGAGAACTCTGAGCAGGTGAGCGCCTTGGCTACTGGAGGTGCAGGGGAGGGGGAGAGACCCAGAACAGGTAAGCTGTCCTGTGCCTCCCTCACCTGCCCTCTTGCTGTTGGGAGGTGACGAAACAAGGAAATTGTTGCTGACTGGTGGGAAAAGTAGGGAGTGAGTACCTGAGGGAGAGGTTTCTGCGGGGTAGGATAGGACCTGTGTGTTCTCTCGGCTGATCTGTGGTATTACAATTATGAGGATGTGTCTGATTTCTGTAACCAAATGAATGGCAGTGGGGGGAGGATTTGATAGGATGGCAACAGCTGTCTGTTCTATGGCGGGTTCACGCCATAGATGAGGAGATATAGGTGCAGACCCTGATAGACCAGTGGTGAGCAGTCCCCGGCCCCTAACTTGAAGGAGTTTGTTTCCTGAATGGTGGCCTTTCATTCCTGAGATGGGAGCAGGGAGACAGGTCCCTGGGCTAGAAAAGTGAGAACCAGGGGAGTTGCTGTTCCAGCCTGCACTTTCCTGTGTATACGGCTTTTGGGGACTCAGAATTGGGAAGTCTGATGAAGACCTTTAGCTCTCCTGGGTAGGGTCCACCCTGGGGGGCAGACTGACTTCTCGAAAGGAGTGGAGCGGAAGCTGTCTGCTCCCCCAGTCTCCCTGCCTGACTCGCTGCCGTTTTCTTCTCAGTTGGAGCTGATCACGATCCAGGCCACCAAGGCTGGCTTCACTGGTGGCGTGGTGGTGGATTTCCCCAACAGCGCCAAGGCAAAGAAGTGAGTGCTGGGGGCTAGTGTATTGTCCGCGTTGAGCGGAGAGGGTGTTGGGGTGATGAGTGGGCCAGAGGAGTGCTCGGCTGGGTCACCGGGGCTTACACATTCTGCACCTGTTCCTGGGAAGGAGTGTGTAACTCCTGGGAAGGAGACTTGTAACTGTGCGTGGCTTTATGAGCCCAGCCCTCACTCTGTACTTTTCTGGTTTCAGGTTCTACCTCTGTTTGTTTTCTGGGCCTTCGACCTTTCTGCCAAAGGTGAGGGATCCAGAGTTTGCAGGCTTGTGTCCTTTAGATTCCCTTCTTGTGGGGCTGGGCCTGGTACCTGTTGGAAGGACTCAGGCCTGGGTGGCCTGACCTTCTGGGTTGGGGCAGGTGGGTTGAGAGATCTCCAGGTTGATCTAAGAGCACGCTGGTCCCCGCAGGCCCTGACCGAAACTACTGATGAAGAGGAGGCCACGGAGTCTGCGTTCACGAGTGAGAGGTAAGCAGTTGTCACCCCTGCCTGGAGTGCGGGGGCTTGCTTCTGCCGGGGTCGTCCTACGTGGCTCTCTGCTTGCACCAGGTCTCTTAGGTTCAAGTGTGGCAGTGACACCAGGGTGGTAACAGTGGGGAACCCTGTAGGCCTGTGCCCGCTCCTCCCTCAGGCTGGGCAGCAGGGGCCCTTCTGGATGTCTGTGGACAGCCACGCAACCATCTTTCATTCCTCTCTCTGCCTTCCCTATTGCCAGGACTGCCGGGTTGTCTCCTCCCTCCCTGAGGCTGCCTCCGCCACCTGCATCCTGGCCTCTGTCCCCTCTTGGCTCTCCCTCCTGCTCCTGTGTCCTCATGTTTACTCTCCTGGGTCATTCCCTCAGTTTGCAGAGACCCTGTTTCTTCTGTTTCTTCTGTCTTCTCCCTAAGCGCCCTAACTCCCCCCGCTGCGCCCCCTCGTGCATGGGCTTCCCTCTGGGTCACATCTCACATGTGCCGCTTGCTCCACCACACCATTCTCTCACTCCTCTCTGCTCCCACCTCCGTCTCCTCATGGATTGCTTTTCTCCAGGCCACGCCAGCCTCTGTCTTGCCAAATCTGTGGCTGCTTCTCAGTCTGCTTTCTCTCTTCTCCTCCTCTTAACCTGCCTGTTCCTCGGGCACTGACGACAGCCAGCCACTCCCTCGATGCTTTTCCCAGTTCGGCCTCCTGCCTGCCATCCTGGTTTTGTCCTCAGCTTGCTGGCTGTTCTTTCTCCGAGCACTCTGGGGCCCAGCCCGGACCCTTTCTCTCTCTGCTGCCTTAATCACCAACTCCAGGTTTGTTGCTTTGGGTTTATGCCTATGGTCTCAACCTCACCTCCATTTTCCTAACTGCCTCCTAAGTATCCATACCTAGGCTTCCCACAAGTATTGGGAACAAAACCCAGCTCTTGTTTTTCACACCAAGACTGCCTTCCTCTGTCCTTCCCCACACAGTCATTCTTGTCTTTCTTACCTCACATCTGGCCAGTCCTCTGTGTCTGTCCGGGTGACAGCCAGTCCCCTCCCCTGGTCTGAACCCCCACCGACCTTGCCTGGAGTGTGGAAGTTGCGGCACTGGCCTCCTTCCACTTTGCCTCTTTGAATTGATTTTCTGCACAGCAGCAAGGTGAATTCTTTCTTTTTCCTTTAATTTTTGAGAAAGGGAAATCACACGTTGCCATTTATCTGTTCCAGTATCCTTGGTGAGTTCTCCTTACCCTTTATTTTCCTTACCACCTTTCACTGTTCTGAATCCTGTGTGTTTGTTTGCTTGCTGGCTCCCCAGCCAGAAGGAGGACTTGGGCTCTGCTGGTGTGTCCCTGATCCCAGAGTAGGGTCTTACTGTTAGTGAAAGGTTTCCGGTGTTTGCTGACTGGATAATTGATGGTAAGGCAGTGAAGGAGGTTATTTCTTAGTTGTGGTTGATGTGAGTGAGGAGCCTGAAGACTTTTAAGACGTTTAAGGGGAAAAATGCGCAGAGAATAGGTCAGGAAGGCCACGGGTGGTGAAGATCACAAGTGTGTTCCTTGTGTCCACTACAGAGTGGAGCCCCCTGACCTCCCCACGGTCATCTCTATTAGCTTCCTCAGCCCGTGTTCCCCGTGGGGATTTGCGGGCCGGTGGGGGGGCAGGGGGGGGGGCTCTCCTAGATGTTTTCTGCTCTAAGGCGCCTACCACTTGCTCCCAGCGAGTGGCGCCCTCTCCCACCTCACAGAGGATGTGCATGTGGTTCAGCCCCCTCCACCCACCATAGAATCCCTCTTGTCCTCACACTGGGGTCTACAGACGACATGTGCTAACTGTAAACTTAGGTAAGTGTCTGTTTCTCGGCTGTTCAGCGAGGGGATAATGCCAGCACCCGGGCAGCGTGTGGAGGAGCAGAACGCGTGTGTGTGGGCAGACCCGGCACAGTGCCCGGCACAGGCCTGTCTCCCTGGCTCTGTGGGCACTCGCTCTGTGGGTCCTCGGCTTGGAGGGTGGGGGGGCAGGGGGCTGTGGTCCTTTGGGAGGATGATCTGGCCGCCTCGTGTTCTTGTCCTTTTGTCTAATCATTCTTGTCAGTCTCTCTGACTCTCTCTGATGACTCAGTCCACCTGTGGCATTTGCCACTACTGCCCAACTTCCTTCTTGGCACCTTTGGTCTGGGGTCCTCGCTCACTGCCCCCCCCCTGCTGCTCTTATCTGCCCCCATGACTCTTTCCCATCATTACTTCTATGGCTCCCAGCTTGCCACCCAGCTTGTCCTTCCTTACAGACCCTTGATCATTAGTCCTGTATTTCCAGCCCCCTGTTGGCAGCTGCCTCCTGCTTTGCACTTGGTGCCTCAGACTCCTGCCCCCTGGTTGTGGGCATTCTTAATGTTTCTTTCATGCACCACTGCCTGTACGTGCTGAAGTGTCTAGATCACATTGTCTCACTTCTTTGTTGTGAAACCTCATTGGCCGCCCACTGCTTACTGAAGGGAGAGCACACTCCTTGCCTGTATTCACACCTCCGTGAACTGGCCCAGCCAAGTGAGATTCTGAGATTTTTTTCTTTTTAAAATTTTTTCATGTGTTTTTGCTCAGTTTTGATGGAAAGCATGAACAGTGGAGGGGCACAGAGAGAGGGGGACAAAGGATCCAAAGTAGGCTCTGCACTGACAGCAGCCAGCCTAATGTGGGGCTCAAACTCACAAACCGCAAGATGATGACCTGAGCTGAAGTCAGACACTGAAGCGACTGAGCCACCCAGGCGCCCTTACCTTTCTATTTTAGAGGAAGGGAGAGAGCGTGTGAGCAGGGGAGAGGGGCAGAGGGGAGAGAGAGATTCTTAAGCAGGATTCATGCTGAGTTCAGAGCCTGACACGGAGCTTGATCCCACGAACCACGAGATCATGACTTGAACCAAAATCAAGTCAGATGCTCAACTGACCGAGCCCCTGAGTTTTTTTCGTTTTTAATGATTCTGACTTTTATTCTTAGGTCAGAACAGATGAGAAGTAGCTGCAAACATGGTCTGTGCTGGAATCCGGCCTGCACTGGCCCTCATGCAAGGAGGGAACTTGTGCTTTGGACCCTCAGGATCTCACTTGGACCCCTCCCCTTCTCTCGCCTGGCACACGGGACTCTTGTTCCCTAACTCTCCCTCGGTCCTTTCAGTGCCGCACCCTTGCGTGGTTCTTCTGGTCTTGCTGCCACCCCACCTTCGGCCTGCAGAAATGCCTGCTTATCTCAGCAGCCTTCTTGTTTTTCGCAGACTCTGCTTTTCCTTTCCGTGTCATTCCCTCAGTAGCTGCTGGGTCTCTGCACTCGCTTTGCCTGGTGTGGCTGGTCCCTGCCCTGGCCCAGTCGTGGGCTCTTCAAGGGCAAGCCTGGTTCGTATCTGCCGTAGGACATCCATGGGTCCGGTGCTCAGGTGCTCAGGAAATGGTTGTTACTCAAATGGCGAGCGGCCCTCCGTGGCAGGAATTATGGTGGAAATCGTTTGAGCCCAGCTGCCAGGTGGGGATGTGGTTTAGGGACAAAAGGTTTCTCCTTGTTCCCAGGGCCTCTCTCCCATGGGGCTGTGAGGGGTCCCTTTTCTCCTCAGCCAGGGCTGGAGGCCAACATCAGCGCTTGAGGATCCTTGTCGCGGCTGCCGTGAGCTGACAGCCTTGTTTTCCTGCCTCAGACATCTGTCGTTGCTGGGAACCCCCACTTGGTCTATGCCAGGCACGCCGACCCCGCAGCCGGACTAGGGTCCGAAGTCGGCAGCACTGGGCATCGGGCCTCTGGCTGTCCTTGGCAGTGCCAGGCTCTCAAGGGCTGACCCCGGCCCATGTTGCCCTAAAAGTAGCTCGGCCCCCTGCCTGCCCGACAGGCAGCACCTAACAAGGGAACACACCTAAACAGGTGGTCACTGCCACAAAGATGCCCGTGAGGGAGTGGGGCCTCTCACCTCCCGCTCTTCTACCAGACAACTGCTTTGGCCCCAGGGGATATCACTGGGGGAGGAGAGGTGTCCAGAAGCAGGGACTTCTGTGGCAGGGGCATCGGAGGCCGCCTGCCTCGGGGAGGACCACTATTTTTCCCTGCGTGGACTAGCTTGAGTGCCACGTGGGTTCCACCCGTGCCCTCAGAGCTGTGTTTCCCGCATAGGATCCAGCGCAGGATGGCGAGGCGCGGGGTGGTGAGGAAGAGCCGTGAGTGGGTGCTGGAGAAGAAGGAGCGCCGTAGGCGGCAGGGCAAGTGAGTACCTGGGCTGGGGACAGGCTGGGGATGGGGGGAGGGCGTGGTCTGTGGCCACCAAGGGATCGCCTGCACTTGAAAGCGTCCCTGAGGTAGGTCCTTTGTTCTTTTTTCTGAGACCGCCCCCTTGTCTCCTTGCCACAGGGAGGTCAGACCCGACACCCAGTACACCGGCCGCAAGCGCAAGCCCCGCTTCTAAGCCGTTCGCTCCACGTAACCGGGCAGCTCGGGTCTGCACAGTTGCAAGCGGGCAGTTTTCTCTGTCGAAGTGCCTACTTGCATCCGCTGACAAAACATTGTTTTAGAAATGTTTTCAAGTTCTAACCGTTTTTCTTTACTAACAAAAGTTCTAAAAGCATCTTATTTTGTTCTAAAAGCAATAAACCACTTTCTGTGGAACTGTGGCTCTGGCATTTTCTAGCTCTGGGATCCTGAACAAATCTTGAGTTTCTCCGAGTACTTGATTCCCCTGATCCAAAAGAGGCTCGAAGAACTTGTTGAGTGTATGAAAAGCACCCTATTTTAACCTACAAAGAACACAGGTAGATTGAATTTTGGTCTGTTTATTCCAGCACTAGGCAAATTTGGGAAAAATGGGTGGGGTCAAAGTATCCGTGGGACCCACTGTTCTGAGGCCACCGCCCAGCCTCTGGTTGTCCCCCAGTCTGAAGGCGGCATCCAGCCAGGGCCTGGGCTGACCTTTGGCCCTGAGCTACACCAACTGCTGATTGGCCCGCACTTGGTTGCCTTTGGGTGTGTCTCCTGTCCGATTACTAGTGGTCAGGAGAGCAGGCAAGCCTGCCCTGGGGTGCGGGGGAGAGGGGGACTGTAGCAGCAGGCTAAGCAAGTGGGGATCCAGGTCTCATTTGTGGCTACTGGGAAAGTGGAAGGAGGGGTAGATCTGAGCCCTCGGCACGGAAGGGGCGGGGCATCAGGCTTTAAGCAGGAGTAGAAACGTTCAGACTGGGGTGGCGGGGCCAGAGGATCTAGAGGTTGAAGGCCGAGGTGGGAGGCGGGATCCTCTGCCTCTGAACCCCTTCTTCCGGTTAGTGCTGGGCACATTTACCCCCAAGTTCTAAGGCTGTGACCTCATGACAGTAAGAAACCTAGGGCAGAGACACGGTACAGATACAAATGTTTATTCTACATAAAAATTTCACAAAAGGGGCAGCTGGTTGTACCAAGACCTTTGGTGAAGGGGTGGAGGAAGGGAAGTTGCTGTTAAAGAAGGCAGCACGGACAGTGGTCACAGTCACTGGGCAGGAGCAGAGCTGAGGGAAGGCGGGGCACGGATGCGGCCCCATCCCCTACTGCATGCACTCGCATGCACACTCCCTGCCTGTCAACGAGGAAGAGGGGGGCTTGGGTGGGGGCACGTTTCTGACTTGAGAAGCCCCGAGATGGGGAGGAGGGAGGTATTCCTCCCTGGCTGGCTGCTGAATACTGCATCCTAGACAGCAGACACCCACGTGGCACATCACTGGGGAACAGCAAGGGCAGGACGCGATTGCAGGCCTGAAGGGACACCTGACTTCCCAGAGCACGAGAGAGCAGGAACCACTGTCCCAAACATGCAACACAATGGCTTGAGGACCTGGCTGAGGCCTGCCGGGGAGAGTGGCTGGCCCAGGGTGCAGGCTTCGGCTTATGGCAGAGAACTGACGGGCCCGATCTGCCTCCCTGGCCGGAAGGGTGGCTGGAAACCAGGCACCGGACAGTCTCTTGTGGAGTGTTACCTGGGGTCAGGCACAGCCCAAAGGGGTCGCTCCTGGGGTTACAGGATTGCGGGAAGGGAGGATGAGGCAGCCAAGACCCTCTGGACTCTGCCCCTAGGCAGGGGAGGGAGTCTGGTCTCGACACAGCCAGAAGCCACCTGGCCACAGCACCCTGAGCCTCCCTGGCAGTGATCAGCTGTTAGAGGCTCAGAGCTGGGCTGTCTCTCAGGGCCACCCCTCCCCTAACCTGAAAAGCAGCACCATGTGGCCAGCTGGTCCCCACCCCTCAGGGGGCTCGGCTTAGGGGGACAGCTGGAGAGGACAGAGGTCAGGGCAGATGGGCCAGTCAGGAGGAGGCAAGGTTGGGGTCCAGAGCGAGCCTCGGTCCCAGGAGAGGGCAGACCCCAGGCTGGAGTGGAATTCGTGAAGGCAGGGGAAGGGGGAGGGGGGAATATGGCTACCCTGGGTGGCACTACCTGGGAAGGGTGAGGCGGCCTGGGCCAGGGCCTGAGTCTGTGCCTTGCTGACCTGCGCCACCCCACTGGCTGTTTCCCAGCCCGGCTCCCCGCTGGCTCCCCGTACAGACACACACACGGTCACAGAGATCATGCACACGACGGCTCGGGGTGGGGACGGAGGGCCCTGCGGCAGAGAAAGGAGCAGTACGGGGCGGGGAGGAAGGGGCTCCGAGCCAGAAGGCAGCAGCAGCCAAGGGGCCTCCTGAGGGCAGACCATCCCGAGCGGGGTGGCGGGTGGGGTGGTTTCTATCCGAAGATGCCTCCGAAGGTGGAGGCGATGACGATGCCCAGGACCACGCAGCAGATGATGATCATGATCTTCTTCTGCACCGGAGAGGCACAAAGGAGCAGCCTCAGACGGGGGAGGGAGGCCAAGGGCTTGGGTCAGAGCTCTGAGGGGGGTGGCGATGAGGGCTGGGGAAGGTGCAGCCCAGAGGCGGTGACACCAAGAGCTGAAGGCCTCAGGATGGGGGCTCTGCTCAGCTCCGAGGTGGGGGCAAGCGGTCAAGGCAGAGTGGGGAAGGATCTATGGTGGTCCCGGGGCCCTCATGGGAGGGGGCGGGGAGGCTACTGACCCGGCGTGCTTTGCTCTGGTACTTGACGGCCTTCTTGGTGTCAGACACCGCTCTCTCCACGTAGTCCACCGAATGTTCCACGTTGTACTCAATCCTGTCAATCATCTCCCCCTGCAGGGCCAGGGCACTCAAGCTCCAGCAGGGCCCCCCTCAGGGCAGGACTTTGGGGCGGCACCCTGAAGTCAGAGAAAGGAAAGTGGGGGTGTGAGGATGGGGTACAGCCTCTCACCTGTGCCCCTCAGGCCAGGCACCCCGGGGCAGCTCCCTCCTCTCCCTGCAGAGCAGTCATCCTGGGGGAGGGAACTGGCCATGCGGTCTCAGCCAAGGGCATGGGGGCCATGCAGAGGGTGCCGAGCTGGGGCCTGGAGCGCGGCAGAGGGAGGCCGGGACGGGAGCAGGCGGTCTGGACGGTGTCCCACTCCGTCCTCCGCAGGCACAGTGGTTCTATCCAGCTCTGTCTTCAGTCCTCAACATTCAAGACTCCTCGCCCCCTCCTATAGCCCTTCTGGGCCCCGTAATCCGGTCCCACGCAGCCCCCTGGAGACCACAGCGCTGCCTGAGACCCCCAGCAGCAGCTTTGTGACACACGACTGCTCTCTCCGAGTCCGCTGCTCCCACTGGCGTCCATACAGCTACGGTCTCTCAGCCACCGGTGGCAGCAGCCTCCTCGTGGCCTCCCTGCTTCCTAACTCTGCCCACACCACGCCCACACTGAAGACCCTCCATCTAGAAGAGAATCCAGGCGTCCAGCACCACCTTCTGCCTCCTCCCTGCCGCCCCTGAGCTCCAACTGCACGGCCTCCTCCTCCGAGAGCCCGGCTCTTGCCAGTCTCAGGACAGTTCTGCTGCTGGTCCCTCTGCCTGGGCCAGCTCTTCACTGTGACCCCGGGAAGTCTTCAGAGCTCAAATGCCACCTCCACAGAGAAGTCTTCCCTGACCACCCCGTCCAAAGTGGCCACCTCAGGGACTCTATTACCGTTACCCCACACGTGGCCCTCAGACTGGCAGCATCGGCATCGCCCTTGAAACTGTTAGAAATGCAAATTCCGGGGCACCTGGGTGGCTCAATCGTTAGAGCGGCCGACCCTTGATTTCGGCTCGGGTCACGATCTCCCAGTAAGATCGAGCCCCATGTCGGGCTCTGTGCCGACAGCATGGAGCCTGCTCGAGATTCTCTCTCTCCCTCTCAAAATTAACTTGAAAAAAAAAGCAAGCTTACAGGCTTCCACCTTGACCTACCAATCTCTGGGAACGGGAACCAGGAAACTTACAAGCCCTCCAAGTGATTCTCGGGCACTTTCAAGTTGGAGAATCACCGCTCATTCACACTGCCTCCTAAGATCTGAGCACCTGGCACAACTGGAGAACATTCCATCTGTCATATACTTATGCTGCCCTTTCACCCAACAGACATTAGCTCCGGGAAGCAGGCCCTCAGCTGTCCTGGTCACTGCTATACTTCCAGTTCCTTGAAAAGTGGCCGTCCGCTGTGCCCGTGTGACAAACAGCTGATGAATACGATGGGACAAGGCTGGGTAGAGGGCCATGCAGGGCCTGGGGTCCTGGAGGGCCAAGCAGAGCCATGCAGCACTGGGTCCCGGTAGCAGAGCCATGCAGAGGACAGGGTCCTTTAGGTGGGCACGGCCCTGGAGGCAGTTTCAACAGCAGGCGGTTAGTTACCTGGAGACTCGGTCCCTCCCGGGCAGGGCAGCGTGTCAGGCAGAAAGGGTCGGGGTTAGTGCAGCCCTGGGTGCTGCTGTGGGCTGGGGGGCGGAGGGCAGTGGGGCCCTTGGTACTCACCTGGCTCTCCACAAGCATGGCCATGTCCATGAACATGTCGTGCAGCTCACGGATGCTGTTCTCCAGCTTGATGATCTCACTGTGCCGCGTCTCGATCTCGCTCAGAGCCTGCTTTGAGATGCTGGAGTCCATGATGATCTAGGGGGTGGGAGCAGTGGGCTGGGACCCAGGGGCCTGCTGAAGGGGGCAGGGATGGGGACCGGGGCCAGGACAGCAGGCCAAGGGCAAAGGCAGCTGGGATGGGCAGTGGCTCCCTCCTCAGCCACAGCATTCTCCCACTTCCTGCTTGGTTCTTACTAGCCGTTACCTGACTTCTCTGAGATGGATTTCTCCTCCTTAATACGGGGCTAATAACACTCCCTGCCTGTGCCTGCCACACGGTAACTAAGTACTAGTTCTTGTCACCAGTCTTGTACAGCCCAAGTTGACTGTCCCAAGGACCCAGGCCTTGAACTGCTTTTCTCTCTTCCCCTCTCCTTCTGTTCTGCCTCCCAGAGAGGGTAACTGCCTCTCCCTTCTCTCCTCCTGGAACCCACGTCCCCAAGCCGCCTTCCACCCCGTGGGCCACCTCCTTCAGAAAGCCCCCCTGCTCAAGCTTCACCTGAATGGAGAGACGGCCAAGGGCACCGTGTTCCCCAGGAAAGGAAAAAGGCCCAGAGGATAGTGGAAGGCACCCCTAGCTGGCAAATGGACAGGAGAAGCAAGGAAGTGGACCTAACTGTGAGGACCCGGGAGACATGGGTCTTAATTCTACCTCCGCCA